GCTCATAATGTTTGTTGTTGTTTATGTTTTGTCACGTCAGACTTTTGTGTTGATAAATAACTTTTAGACTTTTTGTAGCTCAGACAACTCAGATTGACGTAAACTAGCAGAGACGGTTTCAGACAAGTTCATCTGAGCGCCAACGTTTCTTAAATCTGTCCCTTTAACTTTAGTCGATCGTAACGTTTTTATTATCAAAAGACAAACTTGAGTCGAGCAACATGTTGGTTTTTAAGAGAAATGTGTGAAAACATGAAAAATAAAGTCTTGTAGTTTAGTTTTTGTTTCAGAATAAATTTTTATGAACCGTCTCACCACTAACCTGAAACTTGTAAAATGACTAAACAAATTAAAGTTGCTGTCAGTAAAATGCCGTTGGCTCGACGTTTTATTTGCTGTTTTTAATCGATGGTCGTGTTCAACGTGTTGAAGCTCGTTTCACAAGCCCGCCTTCTTCTAAACGACGTGTCGGAGGAGACACCCGTCCTGAAAACGTCGAGTCAGTGAGATGGACGAGCTGCCGACTCGTCTCGCTCGTTCAGACGACGAGGATTGAAAGTTTGATCCGGAGTACAAATAAAACCGACATCAGGAAGACTTCACCGGAGAAAAAGAAGTCCTAAATATTTGAAATATTCTCAGAATGAGGAACAAACAGATCCATGAACAAGTCAACGGTAACTCCTCGTTCCTGTTGAGCAGAAATATGTTTCGAGTCGAGTCGTTCTAAAATACGACGTCGAAAAGTGATTAAATATTCACGCCCTTCGTTTTAGCCCATTGGTCCGACAGGGTCCACCTGTGGGCGGTCCAGGAGCCAGATGGTCTCAGTCTTTATGGTACCAGACCTCCAGAGTCAACGTCAACCAACGAGCAAGAAGTCCAAGGAAGACAAGTCAGAGACAGAGTTGTCCAATCTGTCCGGACCGTTACAAAGAAATGGAAAGACGATGATACACTCACCCACTAGGACTCATGGAGCGGGTCCATCAGAGAAACATCCAGGAGGCCCAAGGTGCTGGTCCTTACTGTCCACAGGACGCGGGGCAGGATCTCTGGTTTGGATTAAAGGTTGTAGAACAGGAGCAGCACCAAGCTGAAGGAGCAGGTTGGACATAAAGGACCTGAAGAGACATCCTGCCAAACGAGCGCCTCCAGTTTGAACTTTGTGAAGGTGCATTTAGATCAACGCCGGTGCTTTTCCATTTCAAATGTAAATACCGTTTTTCTAATGAATAAATCCCAACATTTATTGGTAAACTCTACAGAAACCCGTCCAAAGTGTTTCTGCAAACCCACGAACAAAGGAAACATTTGTTCTCAGGTCTGAATGGTTTTACTGGAGCCAAACAAAACCAGCTCGGCCGAGCTGGTCTGATGATGGTGGACTTCTCAGATTTCAGTAAAAACAACTGACAACACATTTTCTGTCAATAATGAATCAACAGTTTCTTGAGGAACATCTTGTAACCTGTAATTCAAGTAACTAATCTCACCTGCACATGACCAGATTAACAAGTTCTGGAGGTAAGAACCTTCACTCCAAGAACATTTCATAAAAGACCTGGACGAGTCAAACAACAATAAAGGTCTAACTCATTAACAGGTCTCTCTTTAACCGAGTCCAGGAGGTTCAATGAGACTAACCTGTAGAAATAAAGGTTGAATGAAACAATTGGTGCTTTGCCACCAGTTCCAGTTCCAGACTGAACCAGAACCTGCTCCCAGACCAGTCATACTTGTAGTTTTCAATGGTCAACTACTTCCATCATCTTTACCCACTTCTTCCTTTTTGGGTCGTGGGGGTCACTGGTGTCCAGCAGTCACTGTGCAAGAGGCAGAGGACACGTCTCCTGTCCATCACAGGGACACATAGAGACAAACAACCATTCACTCTCTCTCTCACCTAGGGACAATTTAGAGTTACCCATCACGTTTTTGGTCTGTGGGAGGAAACTGGAGTACCCGGAGAAAACCCACGCACACGGAGAGAACATACAAACTCCACCCCCGGGCCGGGATTTGAACCTGCTCACTGAGAAGCAGCAGCTCTACAAACTGTGCCACAGTGCCGTCCTTATTTAACAATTTAAGATGTATGATGCACATAAATGGTTTTACAACATGTTCTGACGTTTACCTTGTTAGTTCTACAAACCGGATTCCAAAAAAGTTGGGACACTAAACAAATAAAAACTGAATGCAATGATGTGGAGATGGCAAATGTCAATA